GGAAGGCCTGGCTCTGACAACACTCATCATTCGAGGGCCGTGGAGGCGGAAGGGCCCACACTAGTCCTTCTCACTTTGCTTCAGTAGTCTCCCAAAAGAGGGGCTTTCCCACAGCCCCCAGCCAGCTCGCTGATGGGTTGCAGTAATATGGAGACAGATGAGGGGAGTTCGGCGTTCAGGCTGCCCCGCTCTGCCTCCGCTTGGTCTGTGCTCAGCAGCAATAACCTTTAACCTTGATCGGATGTTTGGGTGGTGAGCAAATAAAAAAAAAAGCTTCATTTCGAACTCCTTTGACAGGTGAGGGATTGTCTCAGGTTATTTTCTACCTCAGATAAAAGCAAACCCTTAAGATGTGAACGCTGAGTGTTTGCTGGTGACCCCGCCTCCCTGTGACCCTGAACAGAACTCGGCAGGTGTGGGAAACAGATGCTTTTGTCTGCAGACACCCAACGTCACGTGCTGCTCATATCAGTCGTGTGCAAACTGATCGATCGTCACGGCACGACCTGGAATGACCCGGTGTAAAGTCGGTATTTGTAGTTCAGTTAATTATATAAACCCACCTGGGTGAGACCCCCCCCCCCCCCCCCCCCCCACCCACCCAGGCCAAAGAGATGAGAACACTGCTGCTACCTCTGCTCTGATTGGTTCAGTGCTCACCTGGATTACTAGCCTGGCAAGTCCTCCTATACATGTGAGGTCAGAGTCTAGCCACGACCCTAAAGATCAGAGGGCCACTGACTAATTCCTGGTGACTGGTTCTGTTCTGCTAGCGACCCAAACAACCATTCAGGCCATCATGTGTCAGTGAAAGCCCTGGTGTCAGAGCCCAGAGAGAGGACGAGTCCCTGCTGCTCTCCAGCCTCCTTCCATCAGCCCGCGTGTCACGACTCTGCCAAAGTCAGAAAAACTGAATGCAGTTCAGGAACGTTAAGACGCTCAGCTGAGAGGACAAAGGAAATAAACCGGATCTTACAAAAATAGAAAACTCCATGTCCTCGTTCTTTTTCTGTGTGTCTGTGGGAGATAAGGAGACCCGGTCCTCCTCTCCGGGCTCTGATACAGACACTAGAGTCACTAGAGTGTTTGATTATCTCTGTGTGACTCGTCTGAGGACCTGTCCCTTCTCAGGCTCTTTGTCCTCAGTCTGAGTAGAAGTGCTGACTTCTCCTCCCCCCCTCCCCCATGTGACCACTGAGGGGAAATTACAGATGCTTTCCTTTAGCGTGCCGTGGAACAGGCTGGAATGTAAGACCTTGACTTTTCTTCTCTCTCTTTCTCTGCTAAACCTCAGCCCGCCCCAGAAGGACTGACTTGTGTCTCTAATAAGCCCGCTGCTGGTTCTGGTGCTGAACGTCTTCAACGGGCTCTTTGTAATCCGGCCCAGGCAGCCATCAGCTGTTATCGGAACGAGGAGAAGACCAGACTCCCATAAATAGACTCCTCTCTGAGGAGTCGTGTGGAAAGACTTCATCCCCGCTCCCTCAGTGACACGGTGCACCGAGTCGTCCTGACAAAGTCGTTCGGGCTTGTGACGAGTCGGAGCTTTGATGTGATGTTTGAACGTGCTCGTGTGTTAAGGAGGTGATGTTTCCTCTGAGGAACGTGTTGCTGCAGGGACCGTCGTCACAAGAAACCCTTCCCGTTCTCCCGTTTTGGCTCCTCGGCATGTGGAGCTCGGAGAGCGGGAGCCGGCTTGGTGCTGGAACAGGAATGCCGGGCTGGGATGGCTGTGTTTGTACTTGTCACTCAGTGAACAGCCCGTGGTGGGGAGAGCTGCAGAAACACGTAGTCGCCCGTGTCACACAGACATTCGATTTTTGAGACCTCATTTGACGCCTTGTTGGCTCTGTAAACATTTTCTGGTTGCCAGATTCGGTCGGGCGTGCTGGTAAACAAACTCTGCCGCTGGAAAAGCTATGATGAGTTTGACTCGTGAGCCTGCCAAGAACAGGGAAACGACGAGGAATGAAAGTAGACCTTATGAGTAGCGACGAGCAGTGAGAGGGCCTTCAAAACGGGCATTACCGGGTTTTTAAACACAGCAGGTCATAAAAACAATCGGTCTGCTTGGAAAGCTTCGAAACGTCCGAGTGTGGGGAACGTAGATCGGAGCGATGCTTCTCAGAGATGAACAGATACTTAATAATAAATACAAAACACAGCTGAACGAGTGCAAACCTGGATAATCTGAAGTGACGCTGTCTATGAAATATGTTTGATGGCAGAGTTCCTGCAGCTGGACGGATCTCGTTCACCCGTCAGCCCGGTTCTGTTGTCACTGCATGCTCTCTTAGTGTGGCGATTGCTGTAAAGACTCTGACACAAGTCAGTGACTCGATGTGCTGGTGATGGTTCTCAGTCTTCCAGGTCATGTAATCCATGGAATATGGGAAACTGGAAAATGGGAGAGCTTCAGTTTGCAAGCTTGACCCCAGTGGCGTGTTTAGGTCTTTTAAAATGGGGTGGCCCAGGCGAGGCACAACTTTCTGCATGGGTGGCACCAATGGTTATGCTTATTTGTTTTACCCCCAAGCCTTTTGTGGACAATGGAACGCCTATTTAAAGATAAATTAGTGTGGTGGTGGCACCTGGGGTGGCCAATCAGATTCCAAGGGTCTCCTTACATGGGACACTTTCATCTAACTGGCACAAGAAACTGTAAAGGGACTTGTCTATAGTAGACAGAATGGAGGTGGGTGGACGTAGAGACACACTTCAGTTTAAGGGTACACCTTACTGTTGTTGGGGTAAACCAGGTCTTCAGCACCGTCTTAAGTCCAGGAGCTGCTGCGCTCCTCTCAGTGTGAATGCTGGGGAGTTAAGCTAACATCCCTCTGCAGGCCAGACTCTGTAGCAGGAGAGCATGAAGCTAAACTAAGCAGCTGCACCTGAAGCTGGATGTTACCGTGGAGATTTACCAGAAACAGGATGAACACTGTCAGCACTCCTCAGAAGGATTTGTGCTGATTCTAGCTCAGGTCAGTAGATCCTGTCTGCTGGTCGTGTGGGAGGCAGGCCGGGTTCTGCCTGGGTTGGTCTCCTCGGCACACGAGACACCCGTCAGAGGAGCTGTTCAGTAGGCGCTGTGGGTGATAGAGGTGGGACCGGGTTAGGGTTAGGGCTGTCTCCAGTTAGCGCCTAACAAAAGGTAAAGAGAGATCATTTCTGCTCTGGAAACAACTAAAAGATGGTGGTGTCACACGGCTGCACCAAAGTGATGGCGCTGGAGTCAGGAGATGCTCCAGGTCCTCCAGAGTCTGATTCTCTGCTCCTGCTGCCGGCTGAAGAAAACAAAAACCAGAACAGAGGTGAAGTGGTGACAATCACAGCTCCTTCACCCCGGTGACTCATGAAAAATGCATCTCAGTATAATCTGATAGTTTGTATGCAGAACTATTCTCAGCATCAGACTGGTTCTGTTTGGCCCGAACACGGCTTACCTAACCCCAACCCGCTCCAGAGGTGAGGGAGGAATGAAGGCGTGGCCCAGAGTGCTGAGTCATGCTTCTGCTGCTGACCACGAAGCTTCAGTTCAGTCTGGAAACGTTCATCCTTCCTGGGTCTGATCCGTCCTACGTGTGTGTGTGTGTGTACGTGTGTGTGTGTGTGTGTGTGTGTGTGTGTGTGTGTGTGCGTGCGTGTGTGTGTGTGTGTGTGTGTGTGTTTTGACCAGCGGTGGCACGTGGTTTGAAGGAGAGGCAAACAAATAAATCAGGTTGAGGTGGCTTTATTGCAGCATGTTTGACACCAACATTCCCTCACACCAACACTCACTGCCTTTTATAACGAAGTGACTGATTGGAAGAAACCAAGAAGAGGGGTAATCAAAGAAATAATAACTAAATAATATTTACAGAACCCAACCACCAAAATAATAAATGGTACCAAACATTTACATAAATACAAATCATACTAAATAAATCCAAGTTCAATCAAACAGAAACTAGGTTTCACATAACTCCTCCAAGAATCGCCCCTCCTTATTTAAGTGGTATGCTCCAGCAGCTTAAAAGCAGCACCTGGGACACAAACTTCCCTTTGCTGCCCCGCCCTGCTGAGAAGACAATACCAGCAAGGTGAGTGAAACTTTGGAGATCAACTTAAACACAAATTGACATTTAACAAACATTTGCTCTTTACACAGGAAGGGTGGCCAGTCCCTCTGCTTCTAAAGAATCTGTTTTAAATGTCCAACATGAAATAAATAACTTCAGTAACAAAACATGTTGTCTGTAACTCAATCAGAAACATAACAAATCATAATGAATGGAACCCCTGGTCTCCATTACAGTGTGTACTATGTGTGTGTGTGTTCTACATGAGTGTGGCCCCGCCCCCCTCTCCCTGATAGGACCGGCCCCCTGCTGACAGCAGCGGTCTGGTGGAGCACCTGTAGGTGCAGCTCAGTGGCTGTCGGGTCTTGTCCTCCCCACCAGGAGAGCTGCTGTGGGATTCTGGGACTTTCTCCGACAACCAGAACCTCCTGAAGACATTTAGTGGTTTGTGACGAGAGCTGAGCTCATCATCAACGTGATCCTGTTTGAACTTGGCTGACAGAGCCCGAGACATCTGTTGAATCTCAGATTAGAGATGGTCATGACTTAAACATCCCAATCAGCATCAAAGTCCTGAGGAAACAGAAATAAACGTTTTCACACCAGAAATCCGGCTCCAGACACAATTCAGCTCAACAAGCTTTGCTAGCCGCTGGTCTGCTGCTGCCAGAATGTGAAACAAGTTGGTTGGTTGTGTCACGATGCGACCCAAACATGAACACCTCCATTATTTCATGTATGATGTCAGAGTGAAGCTGTCCTGGAGGCAGCCAGCAGGAATGCTGGGTCTTTGATTCTTTCTGGAACAAGTCTAGACGGGAGATCAGAGCAGGAAAACATAAATCTATGGATTCATGAGTTCACGAAGACAATGAAATGATTTGAATTGGTCTGACGGTTGTTGGTGATGCCGAGCTGATTGTCTTGATCTCCTCTCCACAG